ATTTAAACCCACTGAGCTATCTCTCAGGCCTGGGCAACAGCCTTTTATCAGGGCAATCAAAATAAGCAAGAACAATTTGTATGCTAATGTTTTCAAGGAGGACCATTTGGCCAAAAAGTCACACATTTTAAAAAATTCAGCCCTTTCTTTTTCTTGTTTAAAGACAGTAAAAAAAAAAATTTTAGGTGTCCATTTTTACCCCCAAAGAACCACAGATATCACTTGGGGTAGTTGGGTAGATGTGTAGGAAACTAACTGTTGACTTATACAGCCTATCTACAGGGAGTGAAAACAAAACAAAACACCTCCACAACTTGTGAGTATTAAGTTGCTAGGTAGCTGGACAGTGCTGTGTGTAAACATATCAGCTACTTTATTTTTAATAAATGTTTTCTGGAAATTAAATCCAAATGCAGAAAATGCCAATATGCAATATAAAAACCATTGTTGAATTCCTGTTATTTCGTTTAGTGAAATTCTGTATCATTTTTGCATTTTTTTTTTTACTATTTTTTATTCTCTTTAAAAATAGAAGAGGATGTTATTACATAGAAAAGTACAACTAAAACCTGAGAAAATACTAAAACCTAAGAACCCTAGTTTAAAGGTAAACAAACAGCTTGATGAGGTTTGTCAGGTGAGAACCAAGGGAGTAAGAGTAAGAAAAATGGTATCCTGGGAGTTGTGAGCAATATTAAAAAGGGCTAAGAGTTGGAAGTTAGGCATGAGGGCAGGTGATACAGCTTAGCGACATAAGTGCCTGCCTGGCAAGCAGAAGATCATGAGTTTGATCCCCAATACCACAAAGAAAAATAAAAAGTATCTTATCCTGTCACCACATGTGGTGCTGCCCCCAACCCCCTGGTGCACCGAGTGGGCCACCACGACTAGGCATGGTGAAGCATTCCCGTAATCCTTGTGCTAGGGAGGCTGAGACACACTATGAGTCTGAGCTAGGAAGCAAGACTCTGTACCAAGTATATTTTTTAAAAAAGATGTGAAGGAAACTGTGTAGAGGATACCAATAAATTAAAAATAGTGCTGTTTCTCAAAAATTTACTTTTCCTATAGAGGTAGTGTGTGCTATACCTTACTGCTTCTCTACAATGTTCTCTTGATGTTTTCAGCACTTAATTATTTTATTCTAAAGGCTCGTGAAGAAGAAATGACTGCAAAAGTAATGGACCTGCAAACTCAACTCGAAGAACTGCGGAAGGAGCATCAGCAAACGCTACAGCAGGAGGAGAATGCTGATAATGCTAATGTGAGAGGAATTTTGAGTTTTCTGTATGTTTCCTCAAGATCTTATTTCCATGATTTGTCTCACTTAGTAATATTATACTTATCCCATTTAATTACAACTAAATCCTTTTGAAGAGATCCTTATGTTCCTTTTACAGGTGGTAAAAGTAAGCTTCAAAGAGATTGAATAAAATGTTCATGCTCACCCAATAAATGTAGAAATTTCAGTCCAATTTACCAGACTTCAAAGATGAAAGTTTTATTATATCAGTGCTTCTCTGTCTTTTTGGTTGGGAAAAAAATAACAGAAGAAGGTGAACCTCAAGCTGAGAATGGTGGTACATAACTGTAGTCCCGGCACTCAGGAGGCTGAGACAGGAAGATTGCTGTGAGTTCATGACCAGCCTTAGCTTCACAGTGAAATCCTATCTCAAAGAGAAAGTAATCTTCATAGCCCTGGTCATAGCCAAAAGAGGTCTATACCAATATAATATTTTTAATTTTTATATTTTGTGCTTAAGTTTTATGTAAAACTTATATTGTATTTTATAATATATTCTTAGTTGTAGCTACATACAATTGGTTTGTAGATGGTTTTAGATGGTTCTACAGCATTCTTTTTTCTCTTTGGTTAATTGATTAGATGCAGGTACAGTGGGATAATTTTAGAAAATTGGGCTGCATTAAAAGAATTGATGCTGTGTATATAAGCATTTTTTTAAAAAAAGAAATGCATATAATTCTTAAAATTGATGCTATGAATGACGACAGTTTGTGGATTCTTGTTGTACAGTGCAGCCCCACAAGTACACATCCACAGAACATATGGGTTCCAGTATGAGAAGCCTGACACTATAACACCTCTCTTTCTAAAATGTATTCACTCATCTAGGATGATCTTTTCCATAGCATGGTCACAAGAGCCTTGGGAAAGAGGGTAGATACTGTTGATGACTTTATACGTGAGAAGATTCACTCATTACACAGTGTCAGTTATCAGATAGCAATTTTCTAGACAACTAATCCCATGGATCTCTTACCCAAAATGCAGAGAACCACCTTTGTAAAAGAACTTTGCTATGGCCTGCCATTTAATAGTATACCTCAGTTATAAGCACCCACTAAGTTGGGCAGACCATTTCTCCTTTTACAAATAGCAATTAAGTTCTGTTTATTTTCTTTATGTATTTACATATTTCTTGTCATTTGTTTATGATTTAGATATATCAGATAATGCTAAATATTGCTTCTTGTGAGAAAATACATTTATTTTACTAACACAAACTTAATATCAAAATAAGCATTAATGTTGTATATAGTGGCATATTAGCCAGAGTTAGAATCTGTAGAGTACTGAAACAGTATTAAATTAATATTCACCAGATTTCTGAGTCCTTTACCTTGTTTTATAAGAAAGAAAATAGCCTTAAGTTTTCGTTTCTACTGTGAACAGTTTTTTCCATTTTAGTCTATATGAATCTTTATCCTTTTGCTTCTTCAGCATTTGTTTGATACTGCTGGACAATGTCTTGATTTTTTTTTTCCCCCCTGAAATGTTTGCCCACTGTGTTGTCCAGGCTTGTCTGGAAATCTGGGGCTTAAGTGAGGCCTCTCACCTCAGCCTCCTAAGTAGCTGGGCCTACAGATGTGTACCACTGTTTATACCTTCTTCATATCTTGAATTGTATACCAGTGTTGAACTCCATGAGAAATAATTTGTGATAATGGATTGTGAGAAATAGTACTTCAAGATTTCCCAAAAGGACCTGTATGCTTGAAATAATTGTTGTTTAATTTTAAGAAATTATACAAATGACACATGAACATATTCTTTTTGCAAATGAGTCAGGTAATACACAGGTATATGGAATAGACCTCTTATTGGAGTCTCCTTCCCTTTCTAAGTGGTTAGAAGTTTAGTGAGTGACCTTTCAGTCTTGTCCTTTTTGCTTATTACTTAGTTTGTGTGTAGATATTTTGTATAACAGAATAGACCAGATTTAAAGGAAAATATTAAAGTTACCTTATCTCAGACTTGTCCACTCCCTTCAGACTCATAAGAGTGATTTATTTCCTTGTAATTTCATACTGCTTCTTTTTATTATTATTTACTTAAAGATTTTGCTATATATACTAAATTTTTTTCTTTTCCATTTTTAGGTAACAATTATGGCACTACAGGTAAGATTAGCTCTTCATTGAATAATAAATTTTAGGAACATTCTTTTTTGTAAGTTAAAAAAATAATCTATTTTAACATGAAAAGATTTCTCGAGCAGTTGAGAAGTATGTCCAGGCAATGATGAAACCCATGTACATTTCAAGTCTGACTTTTTATTTTTCTAGACACAACTAGCACAGAAGACATCTGTGATCAGTGATTCAAAGTTGAAAGAGCAGGAGTTCAGAGAACAGGTATGGGCTAATTGGTATATTTATTTTAATGCTCTTAAAATGCATATAGACAAAAAGCCTGGTAGTTGTGGAAATTGAACAATAAATGGGTACGTGGACATTAAATGTACTCTCCATATTTTTTGTTTGGGGGAGGTTGGTTTTTTGTTTGTTTGTTTTTATTTTTTTTGAGACTGGATCTTGCTATGCAGTTTTGGCTGGCCTGGTCTTGAGTTCACTATGTAGCCCAGACATGGAAATCCTACTGCCTCATTCTCCTGAGTGGTGAGATTACAGGTGTGTGCCACCATACCTGGTTCTCGTATAAATATGTTTGAAAGTTTTAATATATTTTAAAAATTCCATGTTAACTTAATGTTAATATATTTATAAAATACCATGTTGTATAGCTGTGCTACAGTGTTCATGAGTTGGTGACCATTTGGGTTTTTTCTACCTTTTGACTTTAGTGAGTAGTGTTGTTAGAATAGTTGTGTTCAATTTTTGCTTAAACACCTGTTTCTTTTTTTTTCTTCTTCTTCTTAATTTTTATTTATTTATTTATTTTAATGGTTAGTACATTGTGTATTGTTACTGCCAAAGTATTTTCTCATATTACAAGATATAGGCAAGAAATAATAAGTAAACAACATAGGTACAAACATCTTTTTTTTTTTAAAAGTCAACAGAAAATGGAAATACACTTTTTAAAGTTTCTAATACTGGAAGATTTCATACAATGTCTTTTAAATAAATCGTAAGTCAGAGATACAGTATAAATCTTAGAACAAAAATTAAGATTAAGCAATATTCAGAAAATTAAATGTTTCAAAACAATTGAACTAAGAAAAAGTTTTCATGATAGCGAAGAAGTACTAAGAGTAAAACATAAGATAAATACTGGAATGGCAAGTAAATGACCAGCACTTCTAACAGTTTGAGGATAGGATATCGCACAAAGTTCTAGTGTAAACACCTGTTTCTTGTCCTTTGCATATATGCATACCTGGGAATGGAACTGCTTGCTCACGTAGTTTATGCTTAACTGTTTGGGTGTTTTTTTTTTTTTTTTTGGTGAACCAAAGCCTAGATTTTGTACCAAGTTGCATCTCCAGCCTTTTTTTTTTTTTTTTAAATATCATTTTACTGTTTTAAATTTTGAGACAGGGTCTCATTAAATCACTTAGTTGTCCACAGTGAGCTCAAACAAACTTGGCAATTTTCTTGCTTCAGCCTCAGAGTGCTGGGGTATATAGCTGTGCTTTCATGCCTGAGAAACTTTTCAAGCACCTATAACTTTTCTGTTATATCAACAATATATAAGAAATAAAATTTTTCCATATCCTCACCAACAAGTTTTTTGTATCATAACCTTCTGAGTTAAAATGAAGGAATGTTATTGTGATTTTAATTTGTATTTCTCTAATGACAGGCTACATTAAGCAATCTTCAAGGTTGTCTCTTCTCTCCCTTCCTACTGTTCATTGCTTTCTTCTGTGGATTAAACTGATAGGTGCTCTACCACTGAGCTGGATCTCTGCCCTTTTTTATGTTTTTGAGACAGGATCTCACCAAGTTCAGGCTGGCCTTGAACTAGTGATCCTTCTGTCTCATATAGGGTATGAGCCACAGTCCCCAGCTGTCTTTTTAGTCTTCTGTTGCTACCTTTGATATACAGCAACTTCTAAGTTTAATACAATTCAGTTTATATGTATTTTTTCTTTTGTTGTCTGTACTTTTAGTTCCTATCTGAGCAACTATTTCTTTTAATGTTGTTCTTTTAATATTATTTGCCTATACTCTGTCTTTACCATTAAAAATCTAGTGGATACGAGTCTTATATGATTTGAAAATTATCTTTAGATTCACAATTTAGAAGACCGTTTAAAGAAATATGAAAAAAATATGTATGTGGCTACACCTTGTAAAGGTAAGAATGATTTCTTTTATGTCATGTAATCCATAGTTATCTCTTATTAGTAGATTTATGAATGATTTATTTTTATCTTTGTTATCTACATTGTTTTTTCTTGTATTTTAAAGTGTGGGTGTGGTTAACTTGGAATTAAACCCAAGACCTTGCACTTTCCAGGCAGGTGCTTATGTCTCTGAGCTATTATTTTGACTCCTCCCATAAATTATGTTTTCTTAATTCACAAATGAAAACTATGCATTGTTTACATGATATTTTGAAATATATATTCATTGTGGAATAGCTAAAGTGAGCTCTTTGATATTCATTATCTCATATTTAGCATTTTTTGTTGTGAGTATATAAAATCTTTCATAGTGGTATTAAATTTTTAGTATATGTACTGCTGAAGCAAGCACATCACAGTAATATTAAAGATATTGGGGGGAGGAGTGCTGGGAATCAACTCAGGACCTTGTGTTTGCCAGGCAGGTGCTGTGCTACTGGGCTGTACCCCTGACCCCATAGTGATATTAAAGAATATGATACATTATTAAATATAGTCAACATGTTGTACAGTAGATCTCTTGAACTTATTTCTCCTAACTGAACTATTACATCCTTTAAACACACTCTGGTTTCTGTTAATTACTATCCTATTCTGTTTCTGTGAGTTTAAGTTTTTTAGATTTCATGTACAAGTGAGATTATGCAGTGTTTATCATCTTTTAGCTGGCTTATTTTATTAACATAATATCCTCCAGGTTTAGCCATGTTGTCCCAAGTGACAGGATTTTTCTCAGGACTGAATTGCATTCCTTTTTGCTAGCTAATCTGTATTTTTTACAATGTGTATGTTTTGCCTTTATTACTTTATCAGTAACAGTGAGTTTTGAGGAATTGTGATAGTAATGTAAAACAAAAATTGCTACAAAATTATTTATACCAGAAAAAAATATTCTACAAAGTATAAGGGAAACTGCAGTTTATTTTCCATTTCTCCAGTTGACAGTTTATGTGTCTTTTGTATATATGCAAACATTCATGTAATATACTACATGCACTTACACATAAATACTGTTGGTCATATGTTTTAGATGCTTTCTTTTTACTAGTATAATAATGCTGTTAATTGCTAGTTTTGAAAGAAAATTTAAGGAAAAAATAATTCCATAAAATTCTTATATTTAATCTGGGCAAGGATGACTTTCTCTGGGTTTGAGTAGAATATTTTCCTTTCAAAGTGTTTTGCAGATTAGCTTGAGTCTTTATGTAATGATCTTTTAGTAATCTCATAACAAGTATCTATTCTCTCAGTTTCATTGTTTCCCTGTATTAAGCATAGTTTAATTTTGATAAGTGTTTTGTATAACTTTCTGCTTTCTTAAAGACATCAGTCAAAGTCATTTAGTCACTATTTTTTTAAAAGCTCTTTTAGAAATAACATAAGATGCTACACAATTTTTTTTTTTTGCTTATGTTTAGAGATTCAATCTATGCTGAGCAAGAATTGTACCACTGAACTATATCTTTAACCCCTTCATATTCTGAGGTGGGTTCTTACTTAATTGCCCAGTCTATAATCCTTCTTCTTCAGCCTCCTTGAGTAGTTGGGTGTTGTAGATTGGGGTTTTGCAAAGGGAACAATATAATACAGGACACAGTTTATAAGATTATTTTACAATAAATCACCCAAAGAATCATATACGAGTGCAGGAAATCTGTCCACACACTAAAGGCTAAAGAATCCACTTGAGGGCCTACATTTCACAATAATGTCTCATGCAGGCCCGCTTCAGGGATCTGCGCTGGGAAGGCGCAAAGGTCAGTGGTGACAGCTAGAAGATATTTTGAGGAATATCCAGATTAATCTCTTCCCTATGTTGCCTTTTTACAAAGTAAAAATAAAATGAACATTCTGCTTTCAGGGAGAAATAAGAGACTCCTCTGTGCAATTCTGCATATTATCTTCATCCCTCCCATCATACTGATCAACCCCCACAACTTGATGTTGATCATTCTATTCTTTTTCATTATTGGCTGTGTATAAATCTTCAGCCAGTACTTGGAATTCTTCCTTGTTTTGGAACTTTAATGCAGTCATACTGTATAAGTTTTAAATTTTTTCTAAAGCATGTTTTATTTTTTTGTGTGTTTTTATTTGTATTAGTACATGTTCTTGTATGTGTTTCTTTTGCTTAATGTACAGTTTGAGAGTCATCCATGTTGTGTATAGCATTGCTTCAGGCATTTCCATTATTTTAATTTTATGCATTATTGTACATATTTTCTTGTAGTGTAGATGTTTCCTAATAATAAACATGTGAAAAATATCTCTGTACTATATACAAGTAAGAAAGGAATGGTAGATGATAGGATGTGAATGTTATATGTTATATGTGATAGTACATATAACATACTAGGTTAATCCATTTTTCTATATATTTTACATTAATTTCCATTTCTCTTAGCACAGGTCTTGACATCACTCAGCTCCTCTTTGTGCTGTATGTCTTAAGGCCCTTTAATGCTTTGTTTGATCTAAATTCTATATAATGTATCCCATGAATTTCATTTCTTTTATTTGTAATAAATTGAGCCTTTTATGTTAGTCATTAGTTGTATTTGCTCATTTTAGCTTTGTGTGTTTTGTGAAGTACATATTTACATTTTACATCCTTTAAAATTAGGTTATTTCCTAATGATTTGTTATGTATGTTGCAAAGATCTTGTGCTAATTAATTTCTTCTTTCTCTGTTAATAATATCTTCCTTTCAAACGTTCTAAAATAGAATTTTTTATGCATATAGAAAAGTGAGTAAAACACATAACAAACTCAAGAGTTGCATATCAGCCAACTCCAGCAATTACTGAGACATAGCCTATCTTGTTTCATCTGTATTGCAGTCTTTTTGCATTTGATATACTGGATTATTTTATAGTAAGCTATTTCATACACAAACATTTCAGTCAGAATGTATCTCTCTCTGCATAGCATTTTTAAAAGTATCATTAAACCTAACACATTCACAGTAACCCCTTACTATCATCAAATAACCAATCATATCCAAATTTACTATAGTCACATAAATGTATTCTTTTAGTGGTAAGCAGTTGGTGCCCACTTTGTTTTTTTTTTTTTTTTTTTATAACCAGGGATTGAACTCAGGCCCTTGAACTTGCCAGGGAAGCTTTTTATCCACTGAGCCATCTCCCCAGCCCCCAGGTGCCCACTTTGCATATAAGGTACATACACACATTGAAGGATAAAAATCAGTTCCAAATGTATTAAAGCTTTAAAGCTTTAAAGAATTTTGAGATGAAATTTCAATTTTCAAGTTCAGATAACTGCATATGTTTATATATCTTGTATATAAATTTCAGATTTTGGGCCGGCCAGATAGCTCAGTGGAGAACCAGGGGTTTGATCCCTGGGCCTGTTGTGCCGGCACAACTCCTGGGGTACACTGAGATGGCGATTGAGACTGGGCATAGTGGTATGCACCTATAATCCCAGCTCTTGGGAGGCTATAAACAGGCAGATCACTATGAGTCCGATCTAGTCATGAGACCCTGAACACCCTGTAGACCCTTCCCTAAAATACCAAAAAAAAAAAAAAAATTCAGATTCCTCAGTCATGACCAAAAATAGAGCTTCTTAATCCTTTTTTTTTTTAATTTTGATACAGGCTCTTGCTACGCAATTCAGACTTGTAGTGATCCTCCTGTCTCACCCTCCCTTGCACAGGGATTACAGGCTGGTTCCAGGGCCATCATGGTATGCTTGGATTTAATGGTCAGGCATGGCATGTGGTACTAGGGATTGAACTCAGAACCTTGTGCTTGCCAGGCATGTGCTTGTGCTGCGGAGCTATTTCCCCAGTCCTAGGCTTCTTATTCTTAAAAGTTAATTTTGAGGGCCAGGGAGATGGCTCAGTGGAATAAGAGCTTCCCTGGCAAGTGTAAGCGTCTGAGTTCAATCCCTGGTTCTGCAAAAAAAAAAAAAAAAAAAAAAAAGAAAGAAAATAGTTAATTTTGTTAGGTACAGAATTCTAAGTAGTGAGTAATTTTTTTTTCTTAAAACTTGGAAATTTTTACTCTTTTACTATAGTATTAACTCTATTAATTTTGTCATTGAAAACTCTGTTGGTCTGATCATCTGATAAATTTTTTCCAGTTGGTAATATGTATCTTCCCTCTTATTGTTTTCAAGACCTTTTTTCCTTGATGTTCTGCAAGTTCACTATAGTTTGTCTATATAAATTTACTTTTTCTATTTGTTATATATTGTACTCCTTGCATGTGTGCATTCTAAACTTTATTAGTCCTGAAATATCCACAGTGATTATTTCTTCAAATAATTTTCTTTATTTTGTGTTATTGGATCTTCTCATTTTATATTATCATGTAACATTCTAAAAGAGTATTTTCTCTCTTCTGGATGAATTCTGAGAATTTCATCTAGTTCTTGAAGTTACTAATATTCTTATGTCGCTCTCTGTAATGTTACTTAGGCTACTCATTATTATTTTTTTCTTGTGGTCCCTGCCTTCCATATTCTTATGATTATTTATGTAGTATCTAGATGTTTCTGGGTGGCAAACGGCTTGTCAGATGACCTGTTGTACCATACTACTTAGAAGTGGATACAAGCACAGTCCCTAGCTAGTGCATAGATGAGTTTATTCAGATTGAAGTTTGTCATTGTGTCCCTTGTTATATATCTGAAATATATTTATGCTTTACTTTTGGATTGAAATGAAACTTCATTAATATTGTAAACTATTACTTTTTTTGTAAACCATCACTTTTTGTGAGTCTTTAAGATATCAGATCAAATATTTTAAAATCACTGTAATAGCATTGTCTTATGCAGTGTTAGGCTATTTTATCTATCCTGCATTTCAAAATGGTTTTGAAAACTTGATTTAAACTATTTTTAGATTGGAGTAGTAGAGAAACTAGAATGCTCTGAGATATTAATTCCTTAAGATAAAAGCAGTAAATTTAGTTATTATGGAATATCTGAAGCTGACCACATAATATTTAGAATAGAAACAACATTCTATGCTAAGAAATCTTTTTTGTACTACCCATATGATATTTAAAATTTCTCTGCCAGAAGGAAGATGAGAATAAAAATGTGTGAGAAAGAAAATTGTTGTAATTTGTTTTTTCTTCCATGAATATATGAATGTCTAATGTGTATGTTTGTATATAATACAGTTAATAAAAAATGAGTGCCTGTCTTCATCCCATTGTTTTTAATGTGTTTATTTTGTGGTAATTATATTTTCTTTTTATGATTTTACAATTTGATTTGTCTTTTATTTGACAGGTAGCAATTTGTACCATACTGATGTCTCGCTTTTGGGAGAACCAACCGAGTTTGAATATTTACGAAAAGTGCTCTTTGAGTATATGATGGGTCGTGAGACTAAGGTATTAATCATGCTCGATGATTTGGTGCAAGGCTCAGTTTAAAAGGAAATATAGGGGGCTGGGGAGATGGCTCAGTGGAATAAGCACTTCCCTGGCAAGTGCAAAGGCCTGAGTTCAATCCCCAGCTCCACAAAAAAAAAAAGAAAAAAAAATTATAAAAGGAAATATGGCCTCCTTGTAATACACATGTTGATACCATATGTTTATTAGGAGAGCATGTGTGTTAATAGTAGGTGATAAATGATTATGTTACTACTCTTAAGTTAACAAAAGTAAATTGAAACATCTTGCTTATATTTGTTAATTTTTAAAGTGCTGTTCAATAATATTAAATACTACAGATTAAGATTTCATTAATTTAAAAATAGCCAGGGATGTTGGTACATACCTGTAATCGTAGCACTCTGGGAGGCTGACGCAGGATTATTACAAGTTTGAGCCCAGCCTGGGCAACTTAGCAAAACCCTGTCTCAAAATAAAAAAGGGTTAAGGATGTAACTCCATGCAGAAGCCCAGAGCTTAATCTCCAGTACAAAAATAATAGTAATAATGATAATAGTTATTGAAGTCTTCTTGACTTCCGGTCTTAAAATCAGAAAATTTTATTTCAGTGAGATTTAGAATATTCTGGGTAGCATTGAAAGTGGTCATAATTAGCAGTAACTTCTCAGGAAGATTTAGAAATATGTTGTCTTAGTTATTATAAAAAAAATCATTCCTGTATATGGGGGATATTGATCATTTTAAAATTACCACATGATGTAAGTAATAATACCTGATTAATTTGTTTTCTAGAGTATTACCTTCATTGTAAGGTCCTTGAGTGTAGAGTCTTGCCTTTTTGTGTCCTCTGTACTTTTTAAAAAGAGCCTTTTTAGAGATTTTGAATTGTATGTTTTTGCGAAAATATGAGCCTTTCCCCAAACAAAATTTTTCATTTTAGCACTTTCTTTGTTTGGTATTGTTACAACTATTTACTTTCATAGACTTTTACATTGTCTCTGTCTTGGCTTAAGCATGGGATAGTAAGATTTCTAACCTTGAGAGCAGTTAGTGTTTCACTGTGTGGCTGTGTTAGGGTTGCTGAGAGTGAATGCTAAGGTAGTTCAGGCATGGATTTGGTAAATATATTTAAAATTTAAAAAGCAAGGTCATAAGAAACTATTTTACAAGAATATTGTGAATATGTAGGTTTGAGATTCACTTCTATTTATTTAAATTCTTAATATCTGTAGAAATTACATTTCATTACATAAAATAGTTTTCAGACTAAACTAATATTTAGTATCATCATGAACATGTATCACTGGAAAGAGTAATTCAGTGTCATTTTTTCTTACGAGCTTTCATTTTCCAAGGACAGCTAAACTAATTTTATCTTTTTAAAAAATAAAGCTAATAAAATATAGCTTTCTCTTACTATCTTTTTATTGGTTGTAAAATAGCAGCCAGTATGGAGGTCATGTAGATAAAATTACTTTGTTATTGCATACTGGTTGGGGAAGAGAGGCATATCGTTAAAAATAAAAGCCTCTCAAACACTAGCTATCTCATTACAACAGTGAATCTAAAGCTATGATGAAAGTGTTGTTGCTAAATAAATTATTTAACCTTTCTGTGTTCTATAAAATAAAAAGACTGGCTGCCTCAACATGTTTCTTCTGGAAATAGTACACGTTAGTGAGATGAGATCTTTCTGAAGTTTGATACCACCTCTCTCCCCAAGAAAGACACAGAACAACCGTACATGCATTCTGGCACAGTGACATTTCAGCCAAGTCTAAACTTGTGCTTTCTGGGCTTTCCGTTAGTTTTGGGATGTGTCTTAGGAGACAGCTGAAAGAGTTTCTATGGCTCAACAGTCACATCTAAAACTGAACTGGAGGGGCTGGTGAGATGACTCAGTGGTCTAAAGCACCTATTTAGAACAAGCTTAGCAAAGCACAGGGACCTCAGTTCAATCC